TGGAGCTTTTGCAGGAGGCTGGTGGCTTTCCTAAAATCAGCCGCCGTTTTAGTAGTAACCGCAACCCCATTTCTGTTGGTTGCGGCCCTGGTCACGTCGATGCCTTCTGCAGTGAAGTCACCGTTCAGCTGTCTCCAGCTTGTTTGACCCTGTATGTTGATGGGTGGAATTTTTTCCACGGTCGGTCTCCATTCCCGTTACCTCTATTCCTCCTCTGCGCTTTTTTCTGCTCTCTTGAGCAGGAAGGGCGCTGGACGGGCCTGCGGAGGCTGGTGGCAAACTGCGAGGTGCTGGGTTTTTGGGGGCAACCTGCGGGGGAACCTGTACTGTTTTGGGTGCCGCTGTATTGCGGGGCGCCGAGGGTTTCGGTGCCCCCTTGACAGCAGCACTAAAACTGTCAGATTTCTTTGCCGGTTTTGGGGGCTCGAGTCTGCCGGCCAGCATCGCAGTTAGTTGCCTGAGATTGGCCCCTAACCTGCGAATATCCTTCCGGATCTCCTCGTTCTCCTGCTGCAACCTTTCCATGGCGGTTTTAACAAAAAACTTAACACTAGCACGTGGATTTAAAAAATGCACGTGGTGTTTGCTTGGTGTGTGGGTTTCGGCTGACGCAATGATCCAACCATCCACGGTACTATATCATATATATATATTATATCATATTTATGATAATAATTTTATCATATTTATGATCTATATGACGGGCTTGATTCATTTTATGTTTGAAAAAGAACTCTAAAATACGAGGTGTGCTAAAATAAAATGTCTGCTATTACCAACGTACTTTAATCATGAATGGAAATATGTTATATTATTTTAAGTAATCCACGGATAATTTTTTAAATTTTATTTGTTACTTTTCGGTAGAAATCTGCATGGTATCGGTAGATCGGTAGGTTCCTTGACAAATCGGTAGATCTGGCATCTCTGGATCACAGAGGTTATAGATTGGAAGCTGCAATATGTATCTGCAGAATGCTATTTGTCGCTTATTCTCAGTGGCTGCAGGCAAAACTAAACTCTAATTTCCACTACTGGGAGAAGAAATTTTCTTTATTGATTGGGTTCACATCAAAATTTAGCGGGGTATTTGATTTCAGTTTATGACCTCTGGGATTTCCGTTGAAGTTTCAATAACATTTCAAACATTTCATCATGCCCCTTAACTGTGATGTTTATGCTAGGGCTTCAATTAACATCACAATTAAAGGGCAATATGAGATACTCGAAATATTATTGAAACTTCACCGGAAATCATAGAGGTCGTAAAGTGAATTCAAATCGCCTGCTAACATTGTGTTCGTGTGAAAACTAGGGCAAATTGGGAAAATAAAGCACATGAATTTATCTTGTTAAACTAAAAACCCTAGAGATGTAATTTATATTGAGATTACATGAGTTAGATCGTGTAGTGCTTCAACAAAATTTGAAATAAGTTTTATTCACATTAAATAATAAATATGTTGAACAAATATGCAGAAGTGTTGATATAAGTATCCAATTATTACCTGCTATTTACGTTCAGTTGGTACCTGATGATTGTTTTTGTCTTCGTTTTTTTGTTATCGATGAAGTTTAGGAAATGCTCTCTTACAGAGCTGGTATTCTGGCGCGCTGGGTTCTGTGGGGCTCCAACCAAGCTGTTTACTCACTAAAACTCCTTCTGTCTTAAGGTCCAGCCTTGAACTGCAGCCATTTCTGTTCTTTTATTGTATATTTTCTGTAAAGGCCATATCCAAGGCCAAAGGAGTGAAATGATGCAAAATTATTTTGGGTCAAGCTTTTAGTGATTCTCAGGAAATCGATATCGTCGACCATTTTGATTTTCACGAACACAACACAATACTGGAAGCGGTTGGTATCTGACTACCTTATATTCAGTTGTTGTAAAACTCAAATAAACTTCACAGTTATCCAGAAATCACAGAGTTCCAAACACAACACTTAGTCATTCTCCGAGCCACGTTATGCTCCATTATTGTAAAACAAAGATAAATATCACAGTTATCAAACTAGTTGAAAATGCTTGATTGCAAATTGAAAACATTGATAGACTGAAGGATTGAAAATTAGACGGAATAATCTTAATTGTAAAATACCCTATGTCAGAGCCTTCTTATGGACATACGTACAAAACAAACGCATGCAAACCATCAGCTGATCCTCTGGATTTTTGGCCGACGTCTCTCTGTAGTTGCTTTCAGCAAAATCATTTTGGCAGGAAAACAAAACTGTCCAATCTATACTCTGTAATCTGTGGGTTTCATGTAAAGGGCCCATTCGACAGTCGTAAAATCTGGCAACATCAGTTAAAGCATTGTCACTGTCAACCATGTAAACAATAAACTTAGGTTATGTAGGTGAAGTGGGAAGTTTTGCAAAGGCCTAATGGAAACTCAATTGAACCTGTCCAACTGCTGCAGGACCTGCTTAAGAACAACCGGTGATTTAACCCCTTTGGAATCCAACGACCAGGATGCCGTCAAGTTCACATGCAAGCTCCAGTCCTGCCTATCGGATATTGTAAGATTGATACTAATTGAGACAAACTGAATCGAATTTCTTGGGCTTTCAGCTGTGGATTCACGAGGATTTTCCCCGTTTTATCTGCAACTATTGCATTGGACAGCTAAGAGTGTCGTACAACTTTCGAAACAACTGCATCAACACCAACCAGTCCTTGCAAAAGTGCTTGAAGAAAGTCCAGCAACCCAAGGTGGAGGAAAATAAGGTTTTATACAATTGTCTGGCTACTGGACAAGCACAAAACATTGTGTCAGTTGGGGACGGGAATAATGCGGAATACATTCAATTTTATGATAGTGCAGGGCAATTGGCTAAAAGAGACTCTGAACAGAGCGACCGCAGCTCTTCCCGCGGTCCCACTACAGAATCTGCTAAAGGTGATTTTCGCATATTGGTACTATTTCGGGGTACCACTTGAATATTTCAGAAAATTTTAGTAATACATACAATCAACCACAAGCAATTGAAATCGAGGTGCGCGACATCCAGGAAATCTTTATCCAGGACAAGCCGACGGATATCAAGGATCAGGGCAAGGTGATTTTGAGCAATGGCCAGGAATACAATATAGATGACCTCGAGATTGCTGATGAAAATGCGATACCTTTAAACGTCGTCCCCAAACCAGACAGTATTAAAAATGCTCACTACAGTGATATCGTGATTACACGCTACGGAAATTCGCAAAGCGAAGCAATATTGGGGGCTGATCAGGTAAGCGTCCGAACTAAGCGTGAATAGGAAGAACAAAAATGTCCATTTCACTCAGTTTTTGTGAAAACTAGTCCATCAGGTGACTTGTCTTGAAATATTGATCTTAAGAGTATATTAGGTAATATCAGCAAAATTGCTGTCGCCATCTCCAGGCCCCTCACAGGGCAAGCAATCGTCCATTGACGGAAATAAAACCTCAACCAGCAACACCAACACATGCTCAGTGTGCGGCAATACGTACAAGAAAAGGGCGAACTTGAAAGTGCACATGAGAAGCCACACAGGCGAGAAACCTTTTGAGTGCAAATACTGTGTCAAAAAGTGCGTAGCTCTTTTAAATCAATCTTTGCTAGTGTCTAATACTGAATGAAATTGTAGGTTTCATCACTCATCGCATTTAAAGGAGCACATCAGACGACATATGGGGGAAAAGCCCTTCCCATGCACCGTTTGCCCGAAACGCTTCACCATAAAGGGGGAACTGACGATGCACATGAAGTCGCATACCGGCGACAAACCATTTGCGTGCACTATTTGTGATAGAAGGTGGGTCAATGTGCCCAATTCCTAGAGATCGAAAAATGAACGGAGTTTTAGGTGTTTGACTTCATCAGACTTGAAAATCCACGTTCGGACGCACACAGGCGAAAAACCATACTCGTGTGAGCATTGCGAGCGGAAGTTTAGCAGCCCATACATATTGAGCTCTCATTTAAAAATACACACAGGTAAAAATCAACAGTGGGTTTTGTTGCTAGCGATGGGGAGAATCGAATTGGTTCAATTTACTTTTGAAAATGTCTCGAGTTAGTTTTCTCATTTGCGTCCCTGTGTTTCTCAACTACCCCTTCAGCGTAGTTAATATTCCAACACATTTAATGTATTTTAGATCGAAAAAATAATCGTGAAAAAGTATGAATTATGAAACTGGTGTCCTTTAGGCAGTTGCCGTCGTGAAAAAAAATCCTGAAGTTTTGCAAGCACAAGTGGCTTTCATCTTCAGAGGTGGAAGCTGCACCAAGCAAGCCATCTCCAAAGATGCAAGTCATTCGTACTTGCAAAACGTTAAGAAATATTTGTTTTCCACGACGACTTAAGAGCCCGAAAAACTCCCCAGTTTCCATGCAAGTGTTATGCAGGTGACAGGCCATTCCCATGCACGATCTGCGAGAAAACTTTCACTCAATCGTCCCACTTGAGCGTGCACATGAAACGACACACCGGTGAAAAATTTGCATGCAAACTCTGCCCGGCGACGTTTACACATTCATCGCAGCTGACTGTCCACAATCGGGAGCATACAGGTGAAACCCATAAAACCCACTTTTGAACAGTGTTCACAAACAAACTGTTTCAGGCAAACAGCCCTATAAGTGTGTGGTATGCGATAAACTGTGCAATTATGCTTCCGAGCTGCAGGCTCATATGAGCAAGCACACTGGCGAAAAGTTCACCTGCACCATTTGTCAGAAACAATTCACTACCAACACTTATCTGCAGGAGCATACCAGGGTGCACACTGGAGAGAATTTGTTCGCTTGTACGGTGTGCGATCGGAACTTCACAAGACAGCAGTATCTGCTGAAGCACATGCGAACGCATACAGGGGATAAACCTTTTTCCTGCTCTATATGTCAGAAGACCTTCAGCCAGGCCTCCAGTTTGAAGGTATGCTTTAAGAGCCCCATAGACTTCAGGATTTTTTTTGCACGGGTTTGAATGAACAGTTGAAACTGCTATGAGAATTCCAGAAATTTACTCTTTACGCGGTCAAAGGAAAACAAAAACGAAGCAAAATCTGATTATATTGCTTCACTTTACCGGTTGGGAAACTTTAACGGTTTCTCTAGGCTTTTCTTGATCTAGTAATAAACCAAAATAGCACATTTTTGGCTTGTACACTTCGCATTCTTATCTTGATCGTTCAGAAGCTTTCACTTTTTAATTTTTTCTTTCACTCTCTATGTGTGGATTTTAAAGCCCCCTTGCATAAAGCCAGTGTTGTTAATGACCAGATCTTGGTTTGCATTTTCATTAATTACGCTGTGTTTTTGTATATATGTCGTAGTATTCAGTGGATAAAATTGTTTGCACAGAAAAAACTCCTATAAATTTGAATAATTTTCGTAAAAAACTGTTGAGTGGAACTCGTTATGAACATTTGAGAAACCAAGCGGCTTTAAAGTGCATCTGGGTTTTTTCAAATCCGACTCATAGCAAGCGAGTTATAGGCCATAGAGTCGCTATTTCCAAACTAAATTTTCTGCTAAATTTTTGTACAAGTTCAAAGTACGTGAACAAACTGGATTAAATTTGGAATAATCGGTATGTTTTGCATAAAAATCCAGTTCCAAAAATGTTTTCCCTTTGTCATTTTTTCGATAACTCAGGGATTTCAACCAATTTTAATAACTGAAACTCTGAAAATTGGAGAAACTGACCGGCTTTAAACTGCGTATGATTTTTCCAAAATCCGTCCAAAAACAAGCGAGTTATGGGCCATAGAGTCGTTTTTGCAAGCTATTATCATGCCTTTTCGTCATTTTTCGCATAGCTTCCGAGTTTTCATAAGTTGGATTTATAAACTCTGCAGTTGGTGCAGGCCGTCCTTCGTAGTTTGCAGTTGGCACCGTTCGAGAAATAAAATATAAACCCGGCGTTGCTTGAAGTTCGTCGTTTCCGTTGTTTCCATGCGATAATTAAGCAAATTTTATTACGCCAGCGACGTCGTTCGTGCAGTTGGTTCTTTAACCAATGAGAGAAAGAGTTTAATATCACGTGAGTGACTGAATGTCATTTGTCAAAACGAGGCCGTGTTATGTTTATGTTTTTGTAAAGATGGCAGAAGATCTCATTTTCGTTGAAGAATCTGATGTTAGCCAGCAAGTAGCAATAGAACGAATTTAGAATTCTGAGTACTTCTAATGTACAATTTGCGACACAAGGACTACAAAAATGCTCTGAAGAAACAGGATGACAACACGCAACACATCGGCATACAACATGCCAATCTGACTAATCAAATTCCAACGTCGTCAGCTACAAACTGTACAATATTCAACGGCAACGGCATGGCAACCGTACGAACGACGAACGGCACCAACTGCAGAGTTTTATAAATCCGGCTTAAGAATGAAGAAACATGGCGGAGAGTTCCTAATTTCACAAGAAGAAGAGAAACTTAATAAGAGTACGAATACGCCTCTTACTAGGTGCTAAGACCATTTTTAACGGTTAATAAAGGGTCACACATAGGGGTGAAGACAGACACTCTTTACCTAAAAAAAAATAGGAGGGAATGAAAAGTTCATTGGTTTTATTATGGAATTCGACAAAGGATACACGGAAGGCTCTACATTATTTTAATGGAAATTTCCTTGTCAAAATTATACTTTTTATTAAGAAAAAACTGAAAAAATCGTCAGACTTCACCCCGAACAACGGTACTAATTTCTTTCAATCATTACAAGCTGTACCGAAAAAACAGAAATAAAATATTTCGGTTCCTGTTCACTCCTTAACAGTGCGTTAATATAAAATATGGGTTCAGTTTCGGTTCCGGTCCAAAAAAAAAACGGTTTTATTCCGGCTGCTCCTGGGATCATATCGTCCTTGACTTTCGCATTCATATCGCCTAAAACAGGGGTCATCGACCTTTTTAATCAACGGGACAATTTATTTAGTATAGTAGTATTGAGTTTTCAAGATTTTTTAAATATTCAACAAAATTTACCAAAATAATAACAATTTCAATAATTTTGAAAAAATTGCGAATGTATAGGACAATTTACATCTTGGAGGCTCTGTTTCGATTAAAATATGTCGCGAACAGATATTTTTCGCGGACGGTTAAAAATGCACGTTCAGTCTTTTACTACCCAGAAGGGCACACTTGTTGACCGTTTTAAATTTTATTTTTGCATGCTGATTTCTACTCGCTATTCTTGTTGTCCATAATAAGTTTTACAGTTTGACAGTTTTATATGCAGTTTATTTGTTTGTGGAAAATTTAATATTTTCGGTACCACGACATTGAGTTAAAAAATAAATTTTCACTTTGATGAACTAATTGCGAAGTTTTAAAAAAATGACTCTATATGGGGTCCTTTAGTAAATGAATGTGGGAGAACCGCTTATGCTTTTGTGACGAGTTTTTGGACCATAAGGTTCTGTTCCTTTATTGCTTTCTGTTAATTGGAACCACCGCCATCACTGCTAATAGTAAATTTCTGGTTCTGGAAATAACTGAGAACAGACGCACGGTTTTAACTGTGTTCGTTCGGAAACAAAAGTCTGTGGGGCTCTTTAGCGTGACAAGCGACAGTGATGTCAAGGATCGATTTTAGGTTCACTCGAGGATTCATACGGGGGAACGACCTTATGTGTGCGATTTGTGCGAGAAGACTTTCAGCTCATCGTCGGATCTATATAAACATTCCAAGCGCCATAAGAAGTACATCAGTTTGTAAAAGTCGAGTGAATTGAGTGCAGACTAGGAATGGGTAACACTGTAAATCTTCAGATGTTGACATCGATACCGCTTGTCGTGTCAATACAACATATCTGTGCGATAGTGTCATGATACCGTAAACCAATAGAATGACAGATGTGTGAGCGCGTTGGTGTCATACGACTTCTAGCTCGTTTTCTTTGGTTTTACTGTGTTGACGCACACAGGCTTCTTTTTATCTTTTTAATGAATGGAATAAATGAAGATACAATTTTTTTCCCGCGCGGTGTTGTAATTGAAGAGTTTCTCACGAACACTAAATACTGATATTATTTTTAAAGTTTAACAATCGTGTAATTAGTCGTTCTGGAGATGTTAGTTTGCCACCGCGTAGCGTTAAACATCACTAGACTACTTTCTTTCGGGCGAATTGAAGGAAAAAGTTTATGCGGACAATCCTCAAACGATTGACCACTTGAAGCAAAATATTCAAGCTCAAATCGCTCCAATAGACCAGCAAACTGTGAATAAAGTGCTCGAAAATTCGTGTTCTAGAATGAGGTACTGCCGAGCCAGCAGAGGTGGCCACTTGACTGAAATCATTTTACATACTTAATCGGAATATACATTGTATCATATGAAATAAAATAAATAACAAAAAATTCAATTTTTCCTATTCTTATCGTTAATTTATAATTCAACATATATATGGCCCACTCGGTATATGCTCCCTGATTGAACTTTTTCCTAATTTAACCGACTTCGTATCTCTCTATCTTGGACACCCTGTAAGAATGAAGGCGATTTGCCACCATAAGATCAAATCGGTAAACTGGACTTATTCAGTTTTTGTGAGCAATCCCTCAATTACATTGGCCGAGTTGCCGCCAGTGTCGGAATTCAAATGGTCACACCGTGGCACTGCCGACCTTCACACACCGGCACTCTTCAGTATGGGTTAAGTGTGATGATACTGCACCGTGAGACGAGATGTGTCAACACAAAATTGTGATTCAACACAGTGTTACCCAAAGACTAGTGCAGACTTGATAAATAAAGCGAAACTTGCGACCAAAAGTTCACCGACCCGCTGAGTTTTTTTTGGAAAGAACTATTTCCCAAAACTGATGTTGGCTTGGACGTCACTTGACCAAATAATCAAACACTCGCAAGGTAGATAAAGCACTTCTGCTCGTTTTTTTGTAACAGCTTCACTAAAAAAAAATAGTAGGTAACTGACATAGCACTATTCGTGGTTATGCGATATCTGTCCAACAAAGGATAAGGACTGAAAAGGGAAAAATTATTCAAATTACTTACTGGATTCGACTGTTAAGTGCAAATATTCACGGTTGAAGACAGAAATGTTCTTCTCGAAAGAGGCTCAATATGAGTGCCCCTTATTTTGCACCGTCCGGGCCGGGGGCTGCATATTTAAGCCCAACACATCCCCTTATTGTGCTAAGTTTACAGCGACTAACGCTAATTTTTTTAATTTCATACACAACAAAAGTCTGAATTTCTACTACTTACAATAAACAATAAATAAATAGACGTCGCTAGGAACTTTTTTCAATTTTCAATTTTTTTGGACAGTATCAAG